AGTGTTCAGGATGATCGTATGGTCAGCGTTCATGTTAGAGGCTCCTTTATAGTATTTAATTCCTAGAAGTAAACACGCTATATTTCATTTTAGAAATATTTATTTGCAGCAATAAAATGACAGAAAAGGAATACACCACTTACTTGTTTGCTGCCACTGCTGCAATTACAGCAAAATAGGAGGGTTTTGTAACTTTCCCACCAAAAGCTCCACCAACACGTTTTGTGTGGCACATGATCTTATTGGACTGGACGTCTAGAGCTGAAGCCACTAATTCCTGTAGAAGTGAAATCCCAAGATTTTACAGAGGATTATTAGTATCAAAGCACAAGGTAGGAGGCCTATTTTCCCCACAGCACCCAGTACATAAAAGAAAGTACCTGATAGGGTCAGGTTGTAATCAAAGAGCACTGATGTGAATCTGGAGTAGTCCCCTAGGATAATGGAGCTATTCCAAATTCCCACAGATGGAAATGAGCAAAATTTAGTTTTTAAAAAGAAATGGAAGTTCTGGAGTTATTGTCTTGCTTCCATTTCTCTTTAAAAACTAAAAAGACAATAACTCCAGAAATGACACATCACTCACTTTATGGCAAGCTTTAATGGTTTTGCATCTAGAATTGAGGCATATTGGGTACACTTAGGCATTCACAAAACTAACCAGCTGCTTGGAAAATATTGACTCTCCAGTCTACACTAGTGAATAGGGTGTCATAGTAACATTAGTTCCTAATCCTGAACTCCCTACTTGTACAGTGGTCTACTGCTGCCAAACAGGTGTTTTGTGTGAATGAGATGATCAGGATCAGGTTCTCAATACTGACATACAAGACTTAAAAAACAAACAATATTGATGAACAACTCAAATAAATAAGGATTAATTCTTAGTCTCACTGAAATCGCTCTGAATTTGGTCCCCATCTTCACTGGGACTCAACTCAGGATTGAAAAGATAATATTTAAGACAGTGTTTCTAAGCCTGTGGCCCGCAGGCCGCATGCAGCCCAATTAGTCCACTGCTGTGGCTCATGTGACATCTGGTTAAAGCATTTTTAAAATGGATACACAGGAAGTAAGTTGTGTAGGGGGGTGGGCCACACAACACCTTGAGAACTGCAAATGTGGCCCACTATGGCAAATAGGTTGAGAACCACTGGTCTAAGGACTAAGGCTTTCAAAAGCTTTGTTTGAGGATAACCAAACAATGCTCGCCATTGTAGGCCCCTGGGTGAAGTTCCACTCTTAGAATTGAATCCTGCAAATCAGTAACCTAACTAGGGGTGGGCGAAAGGGGCACCAGCCCTGGGTGCTGACTTAGGAGGAGTGCCAAAATCATCCTCCATCCCCAGTGAGTCTGTGGCAGAAGCAGCCCCACAGCATTGCTCTTGCAGCAGCAGTCCACGCATGGACACTGTACTGCTGCTGCTGCTTTAACAACAGGAGCCAGGGAGGGTAGAGCTCTCAGAACCATGCCCACCCACCCCCAGTTCTCCCACAGGGTTCGCCCACTGCTTGTTATGCTACTGTTGCAAAAATGTTTTACCTGGGTCATGCATACACTTATGCATGAACACAGTCCCAGTGACGTGTGTTAGATTAGAGAAGTGTTATAAGTTCATCCTATTCACAACTGTGCTGTCCAACTGTGAGCGTGTTAATTGTTCTGCATGAGAAAATCTATTAGCTTTAGGAGAAATCTAGAAGATGGAACTCAGACCTCAACAAGGTCTTGCAGTTCATCTTACAGGTTATTCAGAGGAGAAAGAGATCGCTGCCCAATAATGCTTTAGATTACCTGTACATTCGATGAATACTGAGTAGATGAATATACATCCATTTCATTATCCTCTCCTCTTGGAACAACAAGTACACTGTTAGGTTCCAGGTAAAAATGTTCCTGTCCTCCAATAGTCATTTTACCTGTTACAATTATAACCACAGAAAAACTCACAACTAATATTTATAATAAGAAGAAATCTGAAGATGTGAGAGAGTGAGTGTGAGAGCATTTCACACAGAATAACAATAAGTAGTTCCATTCATGAGATTCAGTTCTATGATTTCTCCACCATTGTTGTAACTTACCCCATGAGGGAGCCTAGATCATTTATTAGGAGGAACTTAATCTCTTTACCCATCTCATATTTGTACAATATTTTTTTTCTGGGATAAGTTCAGTGTCAGCTAAATATCTGAAACTTTCTCCTTCCTAGTATCTAGCTACCTTCGTCTCTCTGTAGTCCTTCTCCCTTTAGGTCTCTTTGTAAAGGAAAACTTTTCTCTTTGTTGTTTCTTTTTTTATTCCTGTCCTTTCTTCCATTTCCCTTTGTATTTGTATTTGTCTCTTTCCTACTGTGATTGCCTTTTGCTCTACGTGCTCTTGTCACCTTTCTTTTATATAATTGTCCTAACAATGATGAAAATCTGTCATCACAGCAGAAAAGATCCTTTATTAATGCTCCATAAATCTGCTTCTTTGTAATGAACTTAGGTTGACTATTTTTAATGAGCAACTCCTAACTATTGTTAGGGGTCATAGCTGCAGTCACTAGGGAGTGACATGATTAGGCAAATGCCAGTAAGTACGAACTATAAGAGAGGTAGGCAACCTCTTCTGGCTATAGGCCAGAATGACCCACCCTAGGTTGAAGGCAAGCGGATGGGTGCTAAGACCCTGCCACCCCTGCTGCGCATCTCCCCAGCAGCACAGGGAAAGCACCTGCAGAAGGTGCCCCCCATGCCAAATGCTGCCAAAGCCCAGGTCTGCAGGCCAGATGCAAAGGTTCCACGGGCCAGATCTGGCCTGCAGGCCATAATTTGCTGACCCCTGGACTAAAGTATTTCATGAGTAAAGGATGACAATTGCACGCAATTGAACAGTGATGATGGAAGAAAGCACTGGTAATGTTATACAGAGTGACAGGACAAACAACTAGACATACACACAAGCATAACATGAGAACTGGCTCAGTGTGCAACCCATGCTCTTCAGCTCATTTCAGAACAGCCTTCCCTTACTCTGCATGTCTTGGATGCTTGGACATACATTCTAGCAAGACACCTCTAACTGACTCATGCTGCAGTGAATTAACTAGTTTGTCTATGCACAACTAGCCTCCGTTGGATGGAAGATCTATAGTATGCTGATCCCTGTCCTGTTAAAAGCAAATGGAGACTGCAGAGAGAACTGGAACACATGGGAATAAAAATCAGAAAGGTTCAGGTGCAAAATTACTACCAATTTGCTAGGGACATAAAAAGAAAAAGTTCCTTAAATACATCAGATGTAAAACAAAGAGAAAGGAAAAGCATATGTTTGTTAGTTAACAGGGTGAGACAGTAAATCAGTAAATGAGGGACGGCTCCAAGAAGGCCAATGCCTTCTTTGCTTTTGACTTCACAAAAAAACATTTAATGCGATCAGATATTTAACCCAATCATTTTTAATAAGGGAATAGGACCATAGGCAAGGCTAGGGTACAAGACAAGCTATAGAATACTTAGATAAATTAAAAGGTTTCAAGTCAGAAGTGTTGATGAAATTCACCCTAGAGCACTAAAAGAACTAGCCAAAGCAATTTCTGAACCACCTGCAATTATTTTTGAGAATTCATTGAGATAGTGGGAGGTCATAGAGGACTAAAGAAGAACAAATGTAAAATCTGTCTTTAAAAGCAGGACCCAGGAAATGATACATCAACCAAGCCTAATTTTAGTATTTGGGGGCGTGTCTACATGAGACATTTACTGTACAGTTAACTAATCAACTGCACAGTAAATGTCTTGGCATCTTATACTTGCCTTCCCATTAAGCTGGAGTCAACTAATTTACTCCACAACAGCACACATGTAGATGCTGGAGGTGCTGGTTGAAGCATGAGGGTGCTTCAGTGTGAGACTGCCTGCCGACTGAGGCTGCCTGCCTGAAGCTCTCTCTTGCCCCAGCCAGCCCCTCCACAGCACGTTGAGCCAGAGTGGGGCAGCCCTGGGCTGGCAGGGTGATCCCCAGGGCCCCCTGCCAGCCGGGACTGCTCCAATCCAGCTCCACATGCTGTACATGAATAAACTGTAGAGCTTATTGCTCTGGAATTAATTACTCCTGGGTCCATATTCAAACAGCATTCTGGGGAACAATACACACCAGAGCAATAAGCTCTGCTGTTTATTCATGGACTATAACAGTACACGTAGATGTGCTCTGGAACAACAAGCTTAATTTTAGTATCTAAGACAACAAAGCACTGATACAATCATAGGATAAAAAATAGCCAGTGTAGATTTGTTAAGATCAAATGACCACAAATGATCAAATGACCACAGCCCGCTCTTTGGTGAGAGAGGCAGCGAGCTGCTGGGAGGAGATGGCCTCCATCTCTCTCCCCTAGGGAGGAGGCTCTTCTCAGCCAGACTGGCTGACCTGCTCCACCGGGCTTTAAACTAAGCCCGCTGGGGGACGAGACCTGGTGGGACTCCACCCATGACTGGACCACAGGTATAGATGGCTATACCCTGTACAGGAGGGATCGTGTAGATAAAAGGGGCGGGGGTGTAGCTCTCTATGTTAAGGAAAGCTACACGTCCC